GGCTCCAACTTCATCCTCACCCTCAGCTCCTCTGCTAGCTGAGCTTTATTTAGCCTTAGCATGGGGACCAGCCCCTGCAGCACTTGGACCTCTCACGGCCCAACATAGGACTCTGGCTCTTCCAGCTTCCCCAGTCCCAGGCCCTTGCATGCCAATGGCTCATTGTTACCCAGGAAAGCGTTCTATCGAGAAGATTCCCGTGTCACCTGGAATCCAGAAGCTGAGGGGCAGTGAGGAGAACTTGAGCTCTGCAGACAGCCTGAGTGCTGGCCCCTCCTTGGGCCGAGCAGTTGAGCACTCTGGGGCTCTGTTTCCTTTGCTGCAACGTGGGTCTAGCCATGCCTATTTTGCAGGATTTAGGGGAATGAAGAAGACACTTTAGCTTTCCTGAACTTCGTGCCCCAGAGTTAAGGCAGCTGAGCCTATAGGTTCAGAGTAGCGACCTTGGGGCATGAGACCCTCAGAAAGTGAAAGAAAATGGCCTCACGCCCACCACCGGGTGTGCCATGGGAATCATTAGCCCACTGCGGATTGTCAGACACCTACTTGTTGAGCACCTGCCGTGTCCAAGGTTGTGACGCTCTGCACTGGGCCCCACAAAGGGGCATGGTTGCTGCCCTTGGGGTACAGTGTGGCTTGTGAGGTGAGTGGGCTAACAGAGCACTGCAGTACACAGAAATGGCAGGCTGTTGAGAGCTGGTGTCGTGAGGCTGCCAAGCAGGATGTGCGCTGCTGGGAAACCCTGGCCGATATCAGCATTTGGGATGGACCCTGAGGGGCCGATAGGGGTATCCACCTGACCTTGAGGGGCAGGGGCGGGTACCACATACTGGCAAGGGGTCTAGAGGTTAGGGTGCTTTTCTGCACTCCTGTGATGGCCTGCCCCCCAAATGGCGCCCCTCACGCTAGGGCCTGTCTTTCTCCCTCCTCAGCAGAGACCCCGGCTGCAAGGGGCACAAGTTTACACACAGTGGCCTGGCGTGCCAGCTACCCCAGCCCTGTGAGGCGGATGAGGGGCTGGGCGAGGAAGAGGATAGCAGCTCAGAGCGCAGCTCCTGCACCTCATCCTCCACCCATCAGAGAGATGGGAAGTTCTGTGACTGCTGCTACTGTGAGTTCTTCGGCCACAATGCGGTGAGTGCGTGGGCCTCTGCAGACCAAAGGGCTGGGGGCAGCATGGAGAGCATAGGGAGCCACTGCTTTCCCCAGAGCTCCCTGTGACTTAAGGGCAGGACTGTTGGGGTTTTTTAACTAACGGTGCCAGGACCGTGTAAGTCCTGCCACCTGCGTCTGCTCATGTGACTCTCACTACAGATGTGTGAGATAGAGATTTTTCAGATTTTGTTACCTTGTGCTTTTTTGGTGGTTTCTCTTAAGATTGACTCTGTCCCTTAGGGAGAGGAAAGGAAGTGGCAGAGTGCTGTGGTTCTAATAAGTGTGTGCGTGTGTAATCACAGAGGACTGAGCACTGTGCGTGGCAAAGGCAGGGGGCAGCCAGCCGAGGGAAGGAAGGCCCAGGTGGTGCCCTCAAGGCTGAGATGGGAGTGCTCTGTGGATGGGGCCGAGCAGTGCAGGAGCCTGCCGAGGCGAAGAGGAGAGGGCTGCTGGCTCGGGGAGATCAGTGAGGACAGAAGGAATGAAAGTCCTTGCTCTACCAGTCAATTAGTGTCCTCCTTTTAGAGATGACAAAACTGAGGCTCAGAAAGACGGAGTGACTCGCCCAAGGTCATACAGCCTCCAAGTGGGGAAGCCAGCCTCAAACCTGGCTTCCAGCTCCCCGTCATGCGCTCCCACCGCTGCGTGGACTGCCCGCCCCTGCACCCCCTGCGGCAGCCTTGGTTCCATCCTGGCACAGGGGAGCCATCCAACCCTGTGCTGCCACGAGAACCGTGGTCTCATGTCTCACCGCGCCTCTGGTGCCAGCTGGGGGGAGTGCATGGGCTCTCCGGCCCAGGGTGTAACATCAGCACCTCCCCCTCCCCCAGCCACCCGCTGCCCCGACGAGTCGGAATTATACCGAGATCCGGGAGAAGCTCCGCTCGAGGCTGACCAGGCGGAAAGAGGAGCTGCCCGTGAAGGGGGGAGCCCTGGGCGGGATCTCTGGGGAGCCCACCGTGGACCACCGAGATGTGGATGAGCTACTGGAATTCATCAACAGCACGGAGCCCAAAGTCCCCAACAGCGCCAGGGCCGCCAAGCGGGCCCGGCACAAGCTGAAAAAGAAGGTGGGTGTGGGGGGGTGCCCAACTCTACCACCTCTCCTCCCCGAGGACTCCCCTGGAGATTTGTCGGGGATGAATAGTGCCGGCTGCCAGAGGCCTGGGTACAGCTCACTGCTCTGGGGAAGTCTGAACGAGTTGGGAGGCATCAGGGTTAGGGGCACTGGGGCACATGAGTGAGGAAAACCATGTCCTTGCCTCCGAAGCTGCTGTGGAGCCCTCCCAGCCAGGACTTGCTTCAGCCACTCAGCCCCTTACTCATTCAGCAGACCCTTCTCCAAATCCTGGAAGCCAAGCAGGACACAGTGCAGTTCTCACCTGGAAGAGCTCAGTCCAATGGGGAGACGGGCACAGAGCTGGCCAAGCGTGTTAAAGGGGGACTTGGTCAGCCCTGCCTGGCATGCTGGAAGTGGCCGGAAATGAGGATGGCACGTGAGCAGAGTGGCAGGGAGTGGCACAGAGTGACCAGCAACAGGCACAGCACATCACACAGCAGCCTGGTCTGGCCTGAACTCTGCAGGACCTGTAGTGCAGGCGAGGGAGGCTCTTTGCTGGTGAGGAAAGTCACCTGCAGAACGTCATCCAGGAGTCCACGGGGTCGGGGCTGTTCTCTAAGAGTACTGTGTAGAAGGGAGACCAGTGGAGGTGATATTCTAGGCAGGAATTGGTGGCCCAGGGGAGAAGTTATTGGTGATGCTTGAATGAAGGTCTGCTCTGGGGTGGGAGAAAGGATGGGTTTCCAGAGGAAATGACCAGCCTGGATGACCCATCTGCAGGAAAGGCAGGTGATGGGGTTAGAGGTGTCGTCAGGTGATTGCTTGGGTACTAGAAAGATGGTGGTGCCTTTCCTGAGCGAGAGTGGGAATTGCAGAAGATGGGATTCTGCCGGGGCCTGTTGTCTCAGAGGATCCCAGGAGACTGGTGTAGATAGAGGTGCAGTGCTGGGACTTGCCAGTATAGAGGTATAATTGAAGCCAGGGGAGTGAGCCCGTCTCCAGGGCTGAGTCTGCCTCATAGTGGGGCCGAGGATAGGACTGGTGAGCCATTCCCGGGGAGCCCTGCTGCCAGATGAGCCCCAGGGCTGATGGGTTCTCCCCAGCCACCTCGTTACCGTTACCTAGCCGTACCACAGCTGAGTCTGCACAGTGCCACCCTTGGGAGCAGAGCATCTGAAGAGACTTGAGGGCTGACAGCCAGCTGGCCTCCATTCCTGGGTGGTCAAACACCCCAAACTCTGGAAAGCAGATGTGATTCTTCATCTTTCTCCAGCCCAAAGGACTACAGCATCCTTTTTGCTGCACCATGGAGTGAGCCAAGGGGTCTCCGCACACACTGCAGAAAATAGCCTCCCCTGGCTTCTCCTACCGGAGTTGCCCACCTGGTGTTTTGAGCAGTGGCCCCTGGCTTGGCCTCTCAGAAAAGCGGAGCCTAGCTAGGTGCCTGAGAGCACACGCAGCTGCTCGAGGCTGGCCAGCCTTCCCTGCAGCAGTGGGCCCACAGGTCCTCCTCCCTGTCCCAACAGTGCTCTCTCCTCACCTCTGTCCTTTCCACACTCAGGGCCTCCCAACCATGCAGACTTTCCCAGCGTACGCCCACAGTGCCCCCGCCACCGCTCCTGTCTGCCAGGCCTAGAAGTGAGCCAAGTTAGGTGGCTGCTTGTTCATTTCTTTATACACGACCTCTTCCTTGAAGTCCGTCCACCTCCCCAAACCTAACTGTCCCCTAACACACAGCTTCCTCCAGCAGCTGTCCGTGAGGACTGCTCCCTCTCTCCCATCGCACAGGACGGATAAGGCTCTGTGCCTTTCTTGGTCTCTGCCACCCCAGGACCATCATGATGCGCCCTTCCCAGACTCATCCTGTGCTGTTGACGTTGCACCTCTGGCTCGCCAACCTCCCAGCAACTCTTCACTCAGGGAAGACAGTATTGCTGCCCTGTCCTCCTCTCCCTAGACCAGTTGTCCTTTGGCTCCTCCTTCAATCACTTGCTTGTCAACATTCAATGCTTTGCTCTACTGCCATTCCATACCCGCTCAGGAAAACCACAGCCCTGGGCTAGACCCCGGAGCTCATTATAGGAGGAGACTGCCCGCCCCATAGACTGTACAGCCTCAGAAACCTGGGGGATGTAGGGGGTGGGCGGCGGCTCTGAGTCGGACTTGACTTGATGGTGATGGGTTTGGTTTGGTGGTTGCTTGGGCTGGACCCAAGTCTATCTTTTCTGTCCCTGCACCTTGAAGACATCACCGGCCCTGTTGAGGCCCCCAGCTGTGTGGCCTGTTGCTCGCTGGGGCCTGCACGCTTTTTGTTGCCCCCATTCTCTTTGTCCTCATCACTTCCGTTCTCCTGCCCTTCTGTCAGCTCTCCATCTCAAACTTCAGCCCTTCCTCACCCTCACCTTAATGTTCAACAAAAACCTTCCAGTTTTAATAAGGGGGGGGAATGAAAGAGCGAGAGAGAGACCACCATTAGACAGGCCTTCTCTCAACATGTTACCAACTGCAAACTTTCTTCCTTCTTGTTTTGGTGAAAGAGTTGTCCGTGTTCCTCCCTTGTCCTTTCTTGGGCCTCAGTCCAGCAGGGGCCTGCTTTCCCTACAGCTCCAGCCTCCCCTCGGGGCTCTTCCCCACTGACAATTCAGCTGCCCCAAGCACTCCTTTTGTGAAAATAGATTCATCATCCGCCTCTCATCCCGTGGCCTCTTCTCTTTCATCAAAGTGTTTGGGAAACGCCACCTGCCTTCTCTATGTGCGCGGCTCCTCTTGTCCACACTGCTCACTGTTTCCAGCCAGCATGCCAGGCTGCCAAGGACGCCTTTGTGGCATTACACTCTCCTGTTCCCATCTTCTTTGTCCACTGAGCAGCATTTGACACCGTGAGTTCCTCGTCTTTCTGAACATTGTTTCCTCGGGCAGCTTCAGGGAAAGGGGCAGGGAGGACCCCACGCTCTCCAGAGGGTCCACCTCTTCTCTGCCTCCTCCATGGCCTCTTGCTGCCCTTCCTCACGGGGGCATCTCCCCGAGAGAGAAGCCATCAGACAGCACTGAGGGCTCGCCCATTCCCCCCACTCCCCCTGCTGCACTTGGCACTGGCGTCTCCTGCCCCTCTGGGTACCTACACCCAGCACAGCCAAAGCCAGATTGCCCTCCTCCAGAGAAGCCGCTCTCCATAGCCTTCCCTGGGTCTCCCAGGGAAAGGCACCACCATCCTCCCAGGTGGCCAAACCAGAAGCCTCGGCGCCACCCAGGGACGGGGTATACAATGGGCAGCGCTGAGCAGAGCAGCAGCCTCGCCACCCGGGGACCACACTTGCTGTATGACCTTGGGCAAACCACGTCACCTCCAGACCTCAGTCTCTTCATCCTAAAACGAGGCTCCTAGGAGAACGGGCGCAGGTGGTTGTGGGGGTGAGGTGGATTGGTGCGTGTAAAGGGTTGGCTGTGGGTCAGGCCCATGATGTGCCCTCGGCAAATAGGGGCTGCTTAAGCCACAGCTGCGCTCGCTGGTGTGATTTTCCCCACTCGTCCTCCTGTGCCCAATCACTACAACACCACAGTTCTCCTGAGTAGCTCAAAGCAGCCAACTTCTTGCCACCAGACTGCCATTTCCTAAGACTTCAGTGACTGAGGCATGACCCTGCATAAAGACTCTGGGTGGTCTTCCCAGCTTCCTCTCAGTCACTCCCCTCCCCTGGCCTTCCTGCCCCACCCCCACGCACAGAGAAAAGCCTGGGCCCTGCCATTCCTCTGGGCTTCCTGTCACTCTGAGTTGATCCAGGCCCAGCTCAGTTTGGACCCCAGGCCTCCCACCCTCACAGGGCTGCTTGCCATTTCCCCAAAAGATGGAAGTCGGCAAGGCGGAGAGTTCCCAGAGCCCAGCCATGCTCAACAGGTGATGGCCTAGCGGAACTGAAGGTCGTAGGGACTTGCGAAGATCACGAAGGATAATCACCCCACTTGGTGGCTTACTCACCGAGCCACCTTCGTCTTTCTAACGCGTAGTGTCCTCCTCTGTGAAGTGTTGAGAATGAGACAGTAGGGCGAGGCAGGCAGTGGGTGTGTCAGTGCCTTTCCCTCTTGCTGGCAGATTGGAGGGGCCGAATTGCTCCCGCCACACTGTCCATAAAACTCCCCTGTGAATGAAACCTTATGTGGAACCTTGGTCTTATAACAAGAGCAAAACTGATCTAGTGCGGCATTGGCGGGGCTCGTCAGGCCCCTTGGTTGCTGGTCCACCCCCATGGTGTAGATCTCTTTCACATATGTACAAACGGGGAAGGGAAGGTTCAGAGAGAATGAGGGATTTGTCCAAGGTCCCACCACTAGAAAGGAGAAGGGGTGGGCCTGGCAGGCACAGGAGCACCTGCAGGAGTGACCCTCTGCTTGCCCTGTTTCTACCCCCACTCCCAGATCAGCTGGAATATGTGCAGTATGGGAAGTCATCCAGCCCCTACGCACCACTACCACCCACTTCATGCAGGCTCTGCTATCTGTCTTGTGTGTCCCTCCGACACCTGGAGGATGGGAGCGGGATGACATGACTCAGCCACCGACTCATGCTGATGCCACGTCTGCCAGAGCTGACTGGCCAAGTCTGGCCTCTGTTGTCATTCATCATCTGAGGGTAAAGACAGAGGCCCATTTGTGCACAACGGAGCACACGATGGATGTGGTCTTGGTTACTTGGGCCAGGCATCCTTGCTCTCTGCTAGTCCCCACTCGAAGCACCAGGGGGGACACATGTACCCAGATACCCAGAGCAGAACCAGCCCCCTGACCCCTCGCACCCCCACAAAATACCTTTGTATCCTACAAAATACCTCTGTCTAGCCACCTTTCTCACAAACAATCTCTTTAGTCTTTAGAATTGTTACCCCCATTTTACAGATGGTCCCACTGAGAGCCAGTGAGGGAGCTGCTGCCCTGGAAGGCGGGACCCCTTTGCCTCCAAGCCATCTTAGGCTGAGGACTGCTGGGCTCTGCATGACCATGCTGGAAGGCCTGGCCTCTGCTAGTGTTTCTGTACCTCGGCCCCAGGACAAGTACCTGCCCCGGTGCATTTTCTCCACCCTGCTGCAGGGTGGGCCAGCAAGCAGGGCCTGGGGCTCAGCCTCAGCCAGTGAGTAGCAAAGCGGGCACCAGGCTGGTGTGTCTGGCCACTGCCGAGCCCCTGCTAACACTGCCTCTTGTGTTGATAGGAGAAGGAGAAGGCCCAGTTGGCAGCAGAAGCCCTGAAGCAGGCTCATCACGGTGTTGCTGGAAGCCGAGAGCCAAGGCCTGCCAGAGAGCGGCTCTTGGAGTGGCCTGACCGGGAGTTGGACCGAGTCAACAGCTTCTTGAGCAGCCGTCTGCAGGAGATCAAGAACACTGTCAAGGATTCCATCCGGGCCAGCTTCAGCGTCTGTGAGCTCAGCATGGACAGCAATGGCTATGTGAAGGACGGGGCTGCTGAGTCTGATCCCCCAAGTCGGCTCCCCTCAAACATCAATGGCTCCTCAGAGCAACGGCCTGACATCAACCTTGACCTGTCCCCCTTGACTTTGGGCTCCCCCCAAAACCACACGTTGCAAGCTCCAGGCGAGCCAGCCCCACCGTGGGCAGAAATAAGAGGCCCCCACCCACCATGGACAGAAGTGAGGGGCCCCCCTCCCGGTATTGTACCAGAGAACGGCCTAGTGAGGAGGCTCAACACCGTGCCCAACCTGTCCCGGGTGATCTGGGTCAAGACACCCAAGCCAGGCAATCCCAGCTGCGAGGACCCAAGCCCAAAGGCGATCTCTGGTTGTAAGCAGGAGCTGCCTGAGCCTGTGGCCTCAGGTGGGAAGCCACGGAAGGGCAAGAGACAGGGCAGTCAGGCCAAGAAGAGCGAGGCAAGCCCGTGCCCCCGGCCCCCGGCCAGCCTAGAGTCTCCCAGTGCCAAGGGCCAGACCCCAGGCACCAAGCAGCCAGGCAAAGTCCTAGAACCTCCTAAAATGGGCAGCTGTTCTGAGTCTGCAGAGGGGAGCCGGGGGAACCGGCCAGGACCAGGCTGGATGGGCAGCCCCAAAGCCGAGAAGGAGAAGGGCAGCTCCTGGCGAAACTGGCCCAGTGACACAGTTAAAGCTCGTCCTGCAGAGCAGGAATCGGTGCAGCCCCCAGGCCCAGCGAGGCCACAGAGCCTGCTGCAGGGCAAGGGCCGCAGCCGCCGGAGTCGCAACAAGCAGGAGAAGTCAGCCTCCTCCTTGGGTGAGTGCCCCAGGAACCCAACAGCAGACCCCCACCCCCACCCCAGCCAGGTCATGGGGTGGAGGGCAGTCCTCACACGTGGGCAGTACTGCCCCAAGAGCATGAGCCCAGACGTCTGGCCGAGGGCATTGAGCCCCGCTGGCTGTGTCTTCTAGACGATGTGTTCCTGCCCAAGGACATGGACGGGGCGGAGATGGATGAGACTGACCGGGAAGTGGAGTACTTCAAGAGGTGAGTGTGGAGGGCCTGCTCACAGCCCTCCTGGGACTCAGGCTCTCGGCCCCATGGAGTCCCAGAAGCCCTGCTCCCGCCCCGCCTTTCCCTTTCACCTACTGTCAGAGCCCAGTTGAAAGGGCACAGCTGTCCCCCAGCCTGTCCACTGGAATGCCGGGAACCACTTGGCAGGACTGGCTGGGCGTCAGAGAAGGAACAGAAATGGAGGAGGGGGCATTTCTGGCTTTCGGAGCCGGGCCTTCCTCTCTTGACTACCACTTAAAGTCACTGGCCTTCTGCTCTGGCCGTGGGCCGAGTTCTAGGGACAGATAAATCAAATCCTGCCTGGACAAACTTCAAACTTGGAATCCATGATGGATGCCATTGGGGGCAGGGCAGGCCAGGGAAGGGCCCCAGAGGAGGTGACAGCCAAGTAAAGACAGAGAATGAGTTGAGCAGATCCAGCAGGAAAGGGCCTTCAGGACAGTGGGGACCGCAAGGGCAGAGGCAGGAGGGTGAAGGGAGCCAGTGTGCTGCAAGAGGGAAGCACCCAGTGGAGCTAGAGGATGAGAAGGGAGCTGCCGACAGTGGCGTTTTGGGCCCCAGCCAAGGGACTTGGCTTTGAAGAGAGGTCCCACAAGGAGGGCAGGAACCTTGGATGGGACGTCTCCTGTGTTTCTCAACCCAACAGGTTCTGTTTGGATTCTGCAAAACAAACACGTCAGAAAGTTGCTGTGAACTGGACCAACTTCAGCCTCAAGAAAACCACTCCCAGCACAGCTCAGTGAGGTAAAAAGGCCCGAGTGTGCACGTCACCCCTCCCCGCAGATTCTGCCAGACCATGTCATGCTGTGCGCTGCATGGAACTGGACTTTGGCAGCGCCAGCCCCTCTGCCCTCCTCCCCACCCTCCAGACCAGATAGCAATGGCAAGCAGGCTGTGTTCTCTGACGGTTCAGGCCAACTATTCTCTCAGGACCCTTCGCCCCTCAGCCTTTGCTCTCCACCCACCCGGCCCCTCCTGTGAGCTTCCCCTGCCTATGTTTCTCGAAGGGCCCTTCCCCCAGGAAGGTCCTCCCAGCCATCCTTCCCATCATCCTCATTGCCCACCCAGTGATGTGCCCACGGACTTCAGTCTACGTGCTGGGGCTAGCTCCTAGATGCAGGTGGCCAGGATATGTCCCAGCTGAAGCTCTGAGGGAAGGGGCCAGCCCAGAGAGCTGGACCTAGGCTAGGAGGTCTTTTCAGCCAGAAGGTGCTGGGAGCACTCGCAAAACAGCCATTGAATACAGGAACAGAGAACTGTACCCAGACCCAATGTGCCCCCTGCCTCTCTCGACCCACAGAACCCTCTCACCAGCCCGATCCCAGTATGTATCATCCAGAATCCTTGCCAGTCCTCTCTTCCTACTTCTCTTGCTGCCCCTTCTCCACCTTGGGTGATGTCATTTCCAAGGCAGGGGCTCTCTTTCCCTCCTCCTACATCCCTAGTAAGCACTCCACCCTTCCCCTTGAGCCTCCTTGGGGCAACACTGGAGCCCCGAGCATGTCAACACCATGCTGCCATGGCACCAGGCAGGCTTGTGTCCATGCAGCCTGAGGCTGACCACCTCGAGTAGCTGTTGATGGGGAGAGCAAATGCCAGGGCTCTCGGTCTCACTGCCCTAGTCTGCAGGATCAGCTGCAGCAGGCGGGCCAGACTGCTCCAGGATGCTTCCCCATTTCCTTGATGTCTGATAGTAGCATATTCCAGAACCCGTGGATTGGGGCTGTCTCTGACAGGCCTAACCTTATCCTCTGCTAGAGCACATAAACAGTTAGTTCCCCTTCTAATCTGGGGAACCAACATAGCAGCCAGCTGCTCCTGCCACAGGGGGGTCCCAGCATGGGGAGGCTAGCACCGTGGCTCCCTGGGTGGTCATGCTCCTTGCTCTTTCTCTCAGCTCCTCCCAGGTCAAGCTCCTTCAGGGTGTTCTGAGACCGCAACTGCCAGCTGAAGGTCTACAGTTTCTCCCTCCACATGCCCCATCCACCTGCCCGACTACCCTGCTCCCCACCATCCTGGACCAACCCAAAGCTGAATGGATGCTGGACTGTGCTGGGGCCCCCCTGGCCCTCTGCAGAACTGCTTCCTGGTGCTATGCAGCCTCCACACTCAGAGCCTGGGACTGGGCTGGCCTGCGGGCTGGGGGCTGATGGTACTGCTGGCCCAATACTGCTCTCTTTGTGTTTGGTTTTTGTTTTTGTTTTTTCAATTCTTTACTTTTGATACTGTGAAGATCTTTCATGCTGAAAGATAAAGCAACATTTGGACACAGAGTTGGTGTGTTTGGTGATTTGCTGATCTGGGTGGGGGAAGAGGTGAGAGGTGGACACACAAGGTCTGCCCTTAGTCACTAGCCCTACCAAGCACATCCTGCATAGCTGGAGCTAGATATCATCTTCGTTCAACCCAGCAGCAATCTAGTGGTACCGTTTCACCCCATTTTACAGATAAGGAAACAAAAGCTGAGGCAGGAAAGGTGCTCAGCTAGGCTCAGTCTTGTCCACTAGGGTGAGGGCACAGACCCACATGCCTCCCATATTTCTGCCCTTTGCTCCTGTGGGGAGGACTCTGAATTTAGTCCACCCTTCACCACTCTGTGCCTAGTTTCCCCCTTTGCAAGGTGGGTAAGCAGCTTTGAACTGTCGGATAGATAAGAACGGCCTTCAGACCCCTTGTGACTGGTGTACTTGCAGCCAGGGGCGGTGAAGTTCTTGTGGAATTAACAAAGTTGGGGGTGAGTGGGGTGGGCTTGAGTGTTTATCAATAGATCTGACTTTCTCATGGGAAGGGCGGCAGGGTTAAGTACACGGGGAATGTCACGAAGTTGATGGGAAAATGGAATTGAAAGATAAGGGGTTTTCCCCACGTACTTTCTAAGCCCCACCCCTACCTCCCCACCTTGTGCTTGAGAGCTAGAGGGGGAGGAACATTGCCATAGAATGCGCAGACTGCCTCATCCTGCCCAGTTGGATCCGTTTGGTTGATTCAGGCACTGAACGTGATGGGATTTGCCAGAAATGCCTCAGATGGACTTGTCCCCGTGTAGTTTTCTCTACTAAAACCTGCTTGAGCTGCTGTGAGGAGTGCCCTCCGGGGGCAGTGCCAAGAGTCCTCCATGGAGTGTTGAGAGCAGGAACAAAGCCCTGGTAATCAGTCAAGCATTGGGTTAAGCTAACTGAAAGGTCGGCAGTTCGAACACACCAGCTGCTCAGAGGGAGAAGGATGAGACTGTTCTGTAAAGACGTGGCGGCCTTGGAAACCCTACCATGAGTCAGAAGCAATTCAACAGCAGGGGTGGGGGTGTTTGAGCAGGATCAGAAGGCCTTTCTACTTTCCATCCCCTCTGGTGGAACTCCACTGCGGGGCTGGCAGTGAGGGCCATGTATGTTTCTTTACCAGCGACATGAAGTTAAAAATAGGCTCACAATCCCTGGTCCCTGGCCATTCCCAGTCCTCAAAGAACCCTTAACACTTCCGGGGAAGCCTTCTTAATGTAGCCGTGGTCCTCTTCCCCCGTCGGCTTGCACAGGTGCTCAGACCTGCCTCTGGCTCCTGTGCTGCTGCTCTTGCATGTCCTGACTCAGGCTACTTTTGCTATGAGTAGTTGGAGAATTGCGTTGCCCTGCATTGGTGAGGGGCCCTGGTGGCATAGTGGACTAAGTGCTGAGCTGTTAACTGCAGGGTCAGCAGTTCAAACCCACCAGCCACTGCACAGGAGAAAGACACCCCCATAAAGATGTATAGCCTTGAAAACCACCAGGGCAGGACTACTCTGCCCCATAGGGTCACTATTAGGATTCAGTTGATGGTAGCCAAGTTGGCCTTTTTTTAGGTCGTGGTGATACGATCAAAAGTGGTACAGGCAGACCTTGAGATGCTGTGGGTTTGATTCCATACCACCACAACAGATGGTGCACAAAGTGAGTCCCGTATTTTGGTTTCCCAGTGCATAAAAACAAAGGAAAAGCTCCCTGCCATTCGAGTCGATGCTGACTCATAGTGACCCTGTAGGACCGGGTAGAACTAGCCCTGTGAGTTTCTAGGACTATTTCCTTATAGGAGTAGAAAGCCCCATCTCTCCCTTGCAGAGCAGCTGGTGATTTCGAACTGCTGACCTTGTGGTTAGGAGTCCAATGCGTAACAACTACACACCAGGGCTCGTTTGGGGCATGTAAATTATGTTTATACTTCCATTTATTAAGTGTACAATCTCAAAACCAAGCTCACTGCCATCAAGTCAGTGCTGCCTCATCCCTGTGGGTTTCTGAGACTACAAGAATAGAAAGCCCAGTCTTTGTCCCACAGGGTGGAACTGCTGGTGGCTTCAAACTGCCTACCATGCAGATTGCAACCCAACACAAAATCACTACACCACCGGGGCTCCTAAGCATTGTGAAAAAGTTGCACATATTTGCAAGAATTACCAAAATGGTACAGACAGGAAGTGAAAAGCTGTTGTGGAAGC